ATTGTTGCATAGGTGCATACATAGGCAATGTGCTTTGCTGCCTCCATCCCCCCTCCATCACCTATATCTGGCATTTCTCCCCATGTTATCCCTCCCCAACCTCCCTATCCCCCCACTGTCCCTCCCTTATTCCCCCGACAGACCCCAGTGTGTGATGTTCCCCTCCCTGTGTCCATATGTTTTCATTGTTCAACACCCACCTACGAGTGAGAACATGCATTGTTTGAAATCTTCTCCCTTTAACAATGTAAAAACCTTAGAACATTTTGGCCAGGCATGGTGGCTTATGCCTGTAATCCTAGTACCCTGGGAGGCTGAGGCAGGTGGATCACAAGGTCAGGAGATTGAGACCATCCTGGCCAACATGATGAAACCCCATCTCTACTAAAAATTAAAAAAAATTATATGGGTGTGGTGGCATGCGCCTGTAGTCCCAGCTACTTGGGAGGCTGAAGCAGGAGAATTCCTTGAACCCAGAAGGCAGAGGTTGCAATGAGCTGAGATCGCACAAGTGCACTCCAGCCTGGCAACAGAGTGAGACTATATCTCAAAAACAAACAAACAAACAAACTTTAGAATATTTTAACTCCAACTTCCTCATGATGTAGACTCCATTTGTTTTGTATTTTAGTTGTGTCTTTTAAAAAAACCCCACAAGACGTTATTGTTAATGTTTTTTATGTAATCAATATTTGTTATATTAGCCAATAGATTTATCACTGTCTTTGCTCTTCATTCCTTCTTGCATCTCAGACTTTCAATACTGTATTCATTTGCTTCTGCCTAAATTTTATTCATTAAATTTCCACTAGTGCAACTCTGTTTCTGCTGGTGGTGGGCTCTTTCAACTTTTATTTGCCTCAAAATGTGTTTATGTCCTTACTTTTGAAAGTTACCTTATCAGCATAGTCAATATATTATTTCATTGTTTTCTGGCAACTATATCTGCTATTGAAGAGCCTGTGGACCATTGAGGAGTGGTAAATAGTAGCTAAAATTGTGGAGGAAAAAAATTTGTCTTTTGTTTCCTCTCTAGCTGCATATAAGTTCTTTTTATGTTTTGTGGTCTATAGGTTAATTGTGATGCATCTTGATATATAGGTCTTTTTATTTATCCTGCTTTGCATTTATTAGGATTCTTTAATCTGTAGACCGATGTCTTTCATCACTTCTGGACAATCTCATCTGTTATTTATATACATTTAATAGAAAACAATAACAATTGATAATAAATGACCTAAGCCTAATTAAATGCAAGAAGACAGAAGAAGAAAGGCAATAAACTAGAAAAAAAAAAAGAAATAATGCAAATAAAGCAGACAGTAAGAAAATAAAAACAAAAATATCCCAAAAGAATTAAAAATGGGCTTTTTAATTTTTTAAATTGGCTTTTTTTTTTTTTTTTTTTGAGGCGAGGTCTCACTGTCACCCGAGCTGGATTGCAGTGGTGCAATTTTAGCTCATTGCAATCTCTGCCTCTAGGGCTCAAGAGATTCTCATGCCTCAGCCTTTCGAGTAGCTGGGACTACAGGCACATGCCACCACAGCCAGCTAATTTTTTGTATTTTAGTAGAAACAAGGTTTCACCATGTTGCCCAGGGTGCCCTTGAACTCCTGAGCTCAGGTGATCCACCCACCTTGGCTTCCCAAAATGCTGGGATTACAGGTATGAGCCACTGTGCCAGTCAAAAATTGGCTTCTTTAAAAGAACATAAAACAGGCAGATATCTGACAATAATGATAAAGGAAAATAGGAGGCACAAGTTCATAATATTAAAATGAAAAAAGTTGACTATAGATACAGTAGAAGTTTTTTAAAATCATAGCATGGTAACTTTATGCCAATATGTTTTAATATATGAAGTGAAAATTTCCTAGAAAAATGTAAACTACCAAAAATAACTTGAGGAAAAAAAATAACAAACTTAAAACAGTATTATTAGATAATTTGAATTGGTAGTCAGAAATAGCTCTGTCTTTTAAACACACAGACACATACACACACTCACATACTGTAATATGCCAGAGGGGAGAAGGCCTCAGGCCTTTTATTGGCAACTTTACAGGGTCAGTTAATTCTTTTTATACTATTCCATAGGGGGAAAAAAGAGGAAAAGCTTATCAACTTATTTTGTGGAGCATTATAACTTTGCTACCAAAATTGAAAAAGCACAGTACAAGAAAAAATATATAGAGATCAATCTTATTTAGGAACATAGAGGCAAAGATTCTAAATAAATATTAGCATTTTTTAAATGTTCATTGTAATCAAGGAAAAACATAAGGAAAGTTCAGCGTTGGAAAAGTCTAACAATATAATTCACTGTATTAATACATTTAAAAAGAAAAACCTCATGATTATCTCAATATATGCCAAAAGAAAAAAATCATTTAATGCTATTCAACATTAATGATAAGGGAAAATCCTCTGGATGGAGTAGAATAGAAGATAATTTTCTGATCCCGATTATTGCTACCAACCAGAACCGTAGAGCAAAAAATGCTCTTGGTAGGGAAACTTTTGAAGCATTCCTTTTCTATTTCTCCATTAAAAGCAGAGACAAGTCAAGGACGATCATTGTTACCACCATGTTTGTACTGAGGTCCTAGCACATGCAACAAGACAAAGTATGAAAGGAAGAGAAGAGGGAAGGAGGAAGATAAGGGAACAGGTAGTACCAGTCAGGAATGCATATATCAGAAAACTACCAGTGGCCTAAACAATGAGGAGTTTGTCTCATACCCAAGAAATTGGGAAGTGAGGAGCCTAGGGAAGGTGGCACTGATAAGCAGAGTTGTCATGGTGTTCTTTCTTCTTCACTCTCTTTGGTATGTTTGATTTCATCCTCATGCTTGCCACCTCATGGCCATAAGATGGCTTCTGCAGCTCTGGGCCCTCCACATACAGTGTCAGTCTCTTCCCAGAAGCCTTGGGGTAGACTTTACCTTACATCTCACTGCTTACTGAGCCTCAAGAAAGGCTGGGAAAGTCAATGTCCCAGGGATAGGGTTAGAGCTATCCCTGCATAGATGTTAGATTACAAACATACTAAATAATACTTAGAATAATGTTATGCTAGTCTAATCCATTCATGGAAATTCTGTTCTTCTTTGGTGGATAATAAATATATTTAATATTTGAGACATAATAAAAACTTATTATTGTTTATCTTCAGTTAAAATTTAACTGTATGTTCTTTTTAAATAAAATTTTCTTCTAATCTGAAATGCTAGGAGCTAGATGTATTGTCACTCTGAAAAAATTGGGACTCTAAAATTAGTAATAACTACCACAGAAGCATACAAGTTTGTCCAGAAAGACAAGGATTTTTTCCTGTGATATTAATTCTGGAAAAATTTACCAAACAGATTTTTCCAGCAGGGAAATCGAGTAGCAAAATAGGCAGTGCCCTAGGATACAGTTTTGCAAACATGCAGACAAATTCTTCAAATGCATGTGTCTCGTAAAATCCAAGGCTACGTGAAGTGATAATTTAGTGATAGCATTTCTGCAGAGAACTAAGAAAATTTTTACTGATATCATTAACTGTGGTTAGACACGTGAAATTACTTATCCTTGAGAACTTTATCCTGCCAAATTGTGTTAAAATTTTACTAATATCCCTTAAAACTTATGCCCACTTGAAAATTTCTCAGCTGCTATTTTATTTGAACATGGGAATTAAGCCATAAATCTCACTTGCCTGCAAGAACCTGAAAGTCAAACAAAAATTGTACTGAGTCTGCAGACAATGGGAATAACACATTTTACTGGTGAATCTGTGGATTCAAAGCAGGCTGGACACAGGATGTGGACTTACCTGCAAAAGTGGGAGAGCAAACTCCAAATTGGACACCAGGGAAGGAGAGCATAGACGTAAGGCAAAAACTGTAGCCTTAAAATGGGGTCTTCATACACTACTGGCCAGGGGAGAGTGAGGACGACAAGTCGCAGGGAAGCTTGCTGGAAGCTGGGAAAACTGGAGAGGTGTAAATATGGGTTGATCAAATGCAACAAAGAAATCCCTTTTGTGAAGTTGAGTTTCACTGAAAAGTCTCTGCAATTTTTCCTACTTTTTAAAAGATAGCTGAAGATACTCCTTGCAACTCAGTTGAGGCAATCTAAGAGAACCAAGTCCTCAAAGTGAGATTCTAAATTGTATATTGATATCCTTTACTAGTGTGCTGTTTTTGATCAATATCTGTCAGTTCCTTCTAAGATTGTTGTTATAGAAAACTGACAGAAAAGGGGTTTGGAGCTGAAGGAATTGAGCTGAAAGAAGCCTCACCTCTTTTATTCAATTAAAATATTTAAATAAATTATTTGTTCTCTTTCTTGGAAAGAGTAGTATATAGATTTTTCTCTCCGGAGAATGTCAGACTTGGGTTTTTGGTAAAGGGCAGTCAGCTTTGCTGCCAGGCAATAGGAGAGATGTGACTGAGAAAGCATTGTCTAGCATGTGGGTCCATTCTTCTCTAACCATGGACTAGGTGTATTCTCTAAAAGTTGTTGCTTATAGGTTTAATTAATTTCAAAAATAATCTTTATGGTGCTTTTCACTTGTATCATTTCCCTAAGTCATTCAAATTTTTTAGAATTTTTTTTAATACAGTAGAATAGTCCATATGTAGCTATATTAAATCACCTTTTACATGAACCTGGGAATCTGGCTATTTAGAGAAATCTTACAAAGCATTTTATAAGACAGATATTACTCTCTAATTTGCCTGCTTTTAAAATTTGCCTTTTCATCTCAGCAGTTTGCATAAGGTGGGGTGACCTTGTATTCTGCTAGAACCATTGCCCTCCCATGCTGTTGGCTTCCTTTTGAAGTCAGTGGTCATAGCCATTTCATTGAATGAATGAATACAGAAAGAAAGGTAGTGAATGTACAGTGGATGACAGTCATTTGACTTTCAAGGTGCAAATGCAATAGCATCCAACCACTGACTCAGCCTCTTCTTCTGGAAAAAGTAACATGTACCATCTTCATCCACAGTCTCTTTCACCATACCTCAGGAACCACTGCCATCTCCAGCAGAAGTGAAGTTCTTTCCCAAGAAACAGAGTTCAAAGGTATTTATATTCCTCACTACAGAAAAAAAAAATGTTCTTATTTACAACATTATCTGTGAGAGTTTTGGTGATTTACACATTATTGAGTTGTACCTTCAACATAAAAATAAGTGCTATTTCAGCTGCTGCTAGTATACATTTGACTTTCAAAAGGGGAACTGTACAAGTCAACTCTAGCATGATGTTATCAATGGGGTCTAAAATTTTCAATCATGTTGCATCATTGCAAGATTAATTAAATGACTGGGTCAGCCTCTAATACTAACTGGTCAGGAGTCCAGGAATCCGGGATACAGTAGCTATTGCTTTGTATCCAAATTTGTGTGGTATAGGATGTCTTATTGTAAGGTTCTACTGTTTTTCATTTGTCTCTACACACAGGCTAGAAAGGCAAGGTCTCCAAACACAGAATATCTTTTTTTTTTTGAGACAGAGTTTCGCTCTTGTTACCCAGGCTGGAGTGCAATGGCACGATCTCGGCTCACCGCAACCTCCACCTCCTGGGTTCAGGCAATTCTCCTGCCTCAGCCTCCTGAGTAGCTGGGACTACAGGCACGTGCCACCATGCCCAGCTAATTTTTTGTATTTTTAGTAGAGACGGGGTTTCACCACGTTGATCAGGATGGTCTCGATCTCTTGACCTCGTGATCCACCCGCCTCGGCCTCCCAAAGTGCTGGGATTACAGGCTTGAGCCACTGCGTCCGGCCTAATACAGAATATCTTAATGAAGCAGGGGAAAGAAATCTGTATTATATTATTATTATTATTATTTTGAGACAGAGTCTCACTAACCCTGTCGCACAGGCTGGAGTGCCGTGGTGCAATGTCGGCTCACTGCAACCTCTGCCTTCTGGGTTCAAGTGATTCTCATGCCTCAGCCTCCCAAGTAGCTGGGATTACAGGTGCCTACCACCATGCCCAGCTAATTTTTGTATTTTTAGTGGAGACAGGGTTTCACCACTTTGGCCAGGCTGGTCTTAAACTCCTGAACTCAGGTGACCCACTTGCCTCTGCCTCCCAAAGTGCTAGGATTACAGGCATGAGCCACCATGCTCAGCCTTTTTTTTTTTTTTTTTTTTAAACTCATGCTTCAGCCTCCCAAGTAGCTGGGATTACAGGAATGCACCACCACTCCTAGCTAATTTTTTGTGTTTTTAGTAAAGACAGGGTTTCATTATGTTGGCCAGGCTGGTATCAAACTCCTGGCCTCAAGTGATCCACCTGCCTCGGCCTCCCAAAATGCTGGGATTATAGGCATGAGCCACAATGCTGGGCTGAATTCTGTATTCATTAACGTTAGCTCGTCACAGAACAGCCTAATTCATCCTTGTGGAGATTCCCCCAGTTTAAATGTGCTGGACTTTTCTACCTTGCTTTCTTATGTTTATGGACTGCAGACAGACTTCTGTTCTTTGAAACTTTTCACCACAGAAAGGAGACAGCTGGCACTGTCTTTTTCTGGCTTACTGTATATAGTCATGTTTTCAGCTGTTCTCGTAAGAAAAGAAAGAAAAAGAAACTGAAGAGTGACGCAAGAGAAATCAATCCCACTGCCTCTTCATAGTAGACTGCTATCTGTTCTTCCCAGACCTTCATCTTTCAATACTGAAATCATCAAGAGGTCTCACTGTATTTTCGGCACTGGTGGGCTGTGTCCCCTTAAGAGATTTCCAGGCTATTTACGTAGCAGCATGTCATGTGACACCCCAGTTGCCATGGCAAATATTTGTGTTTCATGAAAAATGCCGGTAAAGAAAATCAATGTAAATGACCAAATCCCCAGACAGACAGGCCTTCAGGCAAGTGTTTGGCCTGCACCATTATTGTTTCAAATTCAGCTGTTTAACAGGCTGTGAGAAGGCCATGGGCTAATGTGCATAATAGAAACAGACAGAGGCACCTGTTTTCATTCTCACCCTGTTGGAGCGCTCAGGTCCCACAGTTTTATAGATAACAGATCTACAGGTAATACAAATATTATGACTAGGTTTTAGCCAGTAAGTGGTTTTCCTCAAAAAAAAAAAAGTTTTAAATAATGACATATTTTCTGAATGCTAATGATCCCTGGTTTTAATTTCCTCTGTTGCTTTCACAAAGCTTTTCCAGCTGCTGGAAGCAGTAATATTTAATGACTTTTTCCTGTGGTCCCAGATTAGTACAGCATTTCTAAACTGACTCTTCAATGGTAAATGTAATTATTCATATATTTTGTGGGAAGTGTCCTGGGCATGGCAGTTAAAAGACTAAGAGAAGGACTTCATTATGCCAAGCCTCATGATAGAGCCAGTACAGACCTTTGATCAGACTCGACCACAAGGCAGTGTGGTGCCACACTAGTGTCCCTGAGAAGTGGGACTTGGCATCTGATTATAGTTGTTTTTGTAAATATTTACTTGGTGTGGAAAGAGAGAACAGGCTGGTCCAGTGGGGAAAGGGGGGAAGGGGGTGAGGCTCTGAGCCTTCTATTTGTTTTGTAAAATTGCCCATGAGAGCCGTTTTGATTTAAACTGTGTCTCATTCTTCATTGAAGGGGAAAAGCAGAAGGTCAAGAGGACATCATGACAGGAAGGTCTGTAATTTGTGTGACTAGTTGAAATTTGGGGTCTATCACCTGATGTCCCTTCCTTTTGCTGCCGGGCAAAAGTATGGGTGACTGCTTGACAGCTGGAGATGGCAACAAAAGTTCCTGCTTCCTTTATAAAAGAAATGAGATCATGGTTTCAGGGGAAAAAAAAATGGTTCATTTAAAGTGAAAACCCTTTTTTACCTTCTTTTGGGACTGAATTACTTCTCAGGCTTCAGTCCAAATGACTTAGCATCCTTAAAATTTGGCTGAATCATATCAATCTTCCACCTCAGCCAAAGATTTTCATCTTTTAAAAGTACACTTCAAAAGAAATAAAATGTGAAAAATAAATGCAGTTGTCCCCCAGCATGTGCTTGTATACGTGCATGCATATATGATGCACACACATGCAACATACTGCATGTACGCTATAGTAAGGGTATAGGATTTAGAGTTAAGCTGATCCTAACAACTAAGGTAACAAAAACATCAGAAAAATGAAATAGCCCCCACAATATGGCAAGTATATGCCAGCAAGGAACATTCCACAAGACCGTACATGAGTAATAAAAGTCCTGAACTTGAAGTAGGAATACACTGGATTCTCCTTTGAGCAAGTCACTTTACTTATCTCTGACAAATGAGGATAATACGTTTTTTCACATAGGGTTGCTGCAAGGATCAGATGGGTTAATGTGTCTGAAAGTGTTTTGGAACCATAAACTACTTGTTATCATAACTCATTGATCCATTCTTAAGAGCATCTTATAGGCCTCCCTTTCTTGGTGATCTTTTTTTTTTTTAATTTATTTTATTGCATTTTACGTTTTGGGGTACATGTGAAGAACATGAAAGATTGTTGCATAGGTACACACGTGGCAGTGTGATTTGCTGCCTTCCTCCCCATTCTTTTTTATTTTTATTTTAATGATCTTCTTTTCAGTAAGAATTTCAGAGGAATCTTAGCCATCTGCTTTCGAGGAAAAACAGCCCACCTTTTGGGTCACATTTTATGCCTGCAGAGCTGTGCCTGCATAGGGCTGTATTTACATCAGTGATTTCATACAGTCCCTCTGTACCTAGACAGATTGCTCCTAGGTAAACTAATTAATACAGTTAGATCCCTCCTTTTGCTTTCCTTGACATCTTACTATGAGAAAATTGTGAGCCTGATTCTGCATGTTAAAAATAGGATGTGTTTACAAACACTAAGGCATTATTTATCTAGAATATTTGTAACTGCTAATGTTGACTGAGCATGTCCTGCATGCATGGCACTGAGTACCTTTCATACTCCCTGAACCCTCATAGCAGGCAGAACCTATGTGCTGCTATTGTCCCCAGGCCCACTCAGTTGGTAAAAGGGTACAAAGGATCCAGCTGACAGAGTGAGGCTCTGGAGTTTGTGCTGTCTGCAAGTTCCAGGTTATGAACGCTTCCACATGGGTCGGTTTTTCAAATAGTGCTACTACTGCTCCTGTTACTACTGCTGCTGTTGCTGCTGCTACTGCTACTCACATCTAACATGCACTGAGTGCTTACTCTTTGCCAAGCTATATTCCTAATGTCTTAAGTGGATTATCTTAGTTTTCACAGGATTTCTGTGCAATAGGCACTATTATCATTCAATTAGTCATCCAATTAGTAAATAATAGAACCAGCATACAAAATTGGACTGTGTAACTACCAAAGCCCCCAAGTATTAGAAATTTTTATAAATCTCAATCATTTTTTATGGAAACATATTAAATTTATTACATTTCTAAAATATATTACATTTCTGCCTACCTAATATTTTCTCTATTTAATATCATGTATACAGGTAATCCATTTCCATGTCTTTTACTATTTCCTTCAATTCAGACAGCAGTTATCACCTTTGCTGTTGTGTCTGCTTTCATCAGCTCTGACTTTAACAGCCTTTTCTATCTTATGGCTCAGCTAACCAAATCCAGTTTAAGAAGTTGAATAAGCTTAAGTCAGTCAGGCTTTGCACAAGATCCAAAGAATAAAATAAAAAATGATAGTAGAGTTTGTAATTGTTATTTCAGTAAATCTGAGGCATCTTTATTTTTAAGAATCTAGTTCAAAGGTTTGAGGTTGTTAAAATGGCCTGTCAGCAAATAAATCTTTTTATTATCTTAAGGCAGGTATAAAAACTATGCAAAGATTCGCTTAATTTTAATTAATATTTTGATAATAAAAATCTATTTTATGGATAAGACAAGCAAACAAACAAATATATTTATTGCACTATAGGAGTACAGACCAAATTCATGAGTTTGTTTTCTTCTAGGAACAGAAAGAGGAAAGAAATTGAAAAGAAATACAGAAAGGACTTTAACTTTATATATATATATATAACATACATATACACACACACCACACACATACACACACGTGCGTGCATGCACACACACACAGACACATATAGCAAAGATGATGAAAAATCAAACAAAAATGTGTCCATAGTAGTTTTGTATATTATACTCTATACCTTTCTATATATTCAAAACTTTTCCAAAATATCTCCAAATTAAAAAAAATACCCAATTGAAGAAAAATATAAAAGAAAATCCTGTTTCCTAAGCCATCCCTCTGTTGTAAAGTTTATTTTGGTGTAGAAAGAATAGGTTTGGGGCCGGGCACGGTGGCTCACGCCTGTAATCCCAGCACTTTGGGAGGCCGAGGCGGGTGGATCACGAGATCAAGAGATCGAGACCATCCTGGTCAACATAGTGAAACCCCATCTCTACTAAAAATACAAAAAAAAATTCGCTGGGCTTGGTGGTGCGTGCCTGTAATCCCAGCTACTCAGGAGGCTGAGACAGGAGAATTGCCTGAACCCAGGAGGCGGAGGTTACGGTGAGCCGAGATTGCGCCATTGCACTCCAGCCTAGGGTGACAGTGAGCGAAACTCCATCTCAAAAAAAAAAAAGAATAGATTTGGGTGATTACATTGCAATCTCAAATGTGGGGTCTCACTTCTCTTATTCATTCTTTTCTATTGCTTTTTCTTTAGTATTTTCCCAACATATACTTCTGATCCTCTCAATAGAAAACTGTAATTATTTTATGGGTGAGTCAGCTGAACTATTTTAATCAGGCAGTATGTGTGACATTAAACATATCACTGCCCCTGTCTGCTCTCATTTCCTCCTATCTGTATAGAAAGGAGATTGGATCAAATCAGTATTTTTAAGGGGCTTCCATATGCCCTAAATCCTCACCCCACAGCCCCAGAGGAAGAAGAGAAGCAAAAGCTACTAGTAATTTGGGGCTCTACGCCCCTATATCCACAACACCTGGGTTTTCTATTTTACCTTTTTATCATCAGACTATATGGTATTTGAACAAAGTGTTTCAGGATTTAAAATGTGTACTTTGAAAACCACTAGATTATATCCAGCAGCAGTTTTGGCTTTAACATGTCATATCTGGTGGGGGGAATAAGCCTACTTCTTAAAGGGCACAGGGTGCCTCCCTGGTTGACTTTGCTCCCAGCACAATTTAAAAAAAATAATTTTTTTTGCCTTGCTCTAAAGGGTTGGAGAAAGAGCAGGTCTTATTTTGACAAGAATTAGAGCTCTGCAACCTGGAGATACAAAATGAGATTACAAAGCAAGTCCAAAGCCACTTTTTCTCTTTTAGACTGATTTTCTCTCATAAAACTTCATTTAATTTACCATCTTAAAGGAAGAAAAGAAAAATCCAAACAAAAAAAAAACCCAACCCTGTGGAATCTTTTTTAAAAAACCTAAATCTTAATGTTTTAATTTTTTTTTTTTTTTTTCTAGACAGAGTCTCACTCTGTCACCCAGGCTGGAGTGCAGTGATGTGACCTTGGCTCACTGCAGCCTCCGCTTCCCGAGTTCAAGCAAGTCTCCTGTGTCAGCCTCCCAAGTAACTAGGACTATAGGCACCCACCACCATATCTGGCTAATTTTTTTGTTTGTTTGTTTGTTTGTATTTTTAGTAGAGACAGGGTTTCACCATGTTGGTCAGGCTGGTGTGGAACTCCTAACCTCAAATGATCTGCCCACCACAGCCTCCCAAATTGCAGGGATTACAGACGTGAGCCATCATGCCCGTCCTAATTTATATATTTTTAACTTTTAGGCTCAGAGGTACATGTGCAGGTTTGTTATATAGGTATTAATAAGTTGTGTATCATGAGGATTTGGTCAAACATTATTTCATCACTCAGGTAATAAGCATAGTACCCAATAGGTAGTTTTGGGATCCTTGTCCTCTTCCCACCCTCCACCCTTAAGTAGGCCCCTGTGTCTATTCCCTTCTTTGTGTTCATGTGTATTCAATGTTTAGCTCCCACTTATAAGCGACACCATGTAGTATTTGGTTTTCTGTTCCTGTGTTAATTTGCTTATGATAATAGGCTCCAGCTCCATCTATGTTGCTTCAAATAACATGACTTCTTTCTTTTCATGGCTGCATAGTATTCCATGGTATATATGTACCACATTGTCTTTATCCAGTCTACTGTTGATGGTCATTTAGGTTGATTCCATGTCTTTGTTATTGTGAATAGTGCTGCAATGAACATAACACATCCATGTGTCTTTATGGTAGAATGATTTATAGTCTTTTGGGTATATACCTAATGGATTGCTGGGTCAAATGGTAATTCTGTTTTAAGTTCTTTGAGAAGTCACTGCTTTCCACAATGGCTGAACTAATTTACATTCCTACTGGCAGTGTATAAGCATTTCCTTTTCTCTGTAACCTCACCAGCATCTGTTATTTTTTGACCTTTTTATAATAGTCATTCCGACTGGTGTGAGATGGTATCTCATTGTGGTTTTGATTTGCATGTAGAATCTTTTAAAAACAGTAACTATTTTCTCTAGTTCATTAGAAATTGCCATCCTCATCTCTGCATTTTCAGCATTAAACTTTCAAAATGAATTGAAATTATACAGTTTTATTTACAGAACATTTTTTTTGAAAATCTTGCAAAAGAATTTTTTTTAAGATTTACCAAC